AGCAGACAGAGGAGGGACGCCCCTCCTCCCGCCACGGACGACAATGTCTATTGTGGGATCTCCCCTCCCAGGCGCGTCCCCTAAGAACAGGGGTTCGCTGACTCATGGGTTCCTGTGTCTCGGTCTGTTTTGCAGCTTTCGTCCTTAAATAGCTGTGTAAAGACTAAATTCACACTTTCATGCTCTGCTTCTTTCGCTCGGCGGGAGGAAAGAGCCTGCGGTGATGTGACACGCTCTTAGCATCACTGGTCTTTTATGTAAATTTCACTTCTCTTGCAACCAGGCAACCCATTCTCATGACTCAAAATTCTAAAGGAACAGAAGGTCCCCAGCCCCCGGGACGTTAGGTAACCAGGCCAGGAAGTCCTCGGGGCTGCAGGGCCTCTACACCCCCCACCCCCCTCCATCACCACCGCCGTCAGGAAGCTCATCTCCTGGGAACGAAGGACTTCGCCACACGCCATTGCAAAAGCCCACGGCTGAATGGACTGGAATCTTCCGTTGTTGGGGTTTGGGTCAACCCCACTGTTAACAATAAGCAGCTCAGTGCCGAGCACCCTTGGCCTTGCTTCCCGCGTGGGAAGGACAGACACGGGGGCGTGTCCCCAGGGCACTGCTCAACAGGCCGCAGTGCCGGCGTGGCCGCTGTCACCTGCGAACTGCACGACTCGACGGACACCTTGTGCCTGAGCAGAGGCTGTGGGTCCTCATCGCCTCACAGGGCGCCGAGCGCCTGACTCCCCGCCGGAAAGCAGCGTCCACTCCATAATCGCTGTGCCATTGTCTGTTCCCCAGACTCCCAGCTCTGACCTTCAGCTGTCCGAGCCGGCGCTCCGGCTCAGCAGAGAGCGAGAGGGCGTCTCACTTCTGCCTGAAATCTTAATTGACTCAGCTCTTACACACACACACTCACACACACACACACACACACACTCACACACTCACATATTCACATACACACACTCTCACACATACACACATATTCACATACACACACACATACACACACACACTCTCACACACACTCACACACACACATACACACACTCACACACTCACATATTCACATACACACACTCACACACTCACATATTCACATACACACACTCACACACTCACATATTCACATACACACACTCACACACTCACATATTCACATACACACACTCACACACTCACATATTCACATACACACACTCACACACTCACATATTCACATACACACACTCACACACTCACATATTCACATACACACACTCACACACTCACATATTCACATACACACACTCACACACTCACATATTCACATACACACACTCACACACTCACATATTCACATACACACACTCACACACTCACATATTCACATACACACACTCACACACATACTCTACACACACTGAGCACACACACTCACACGTACTCACACACACACACTCACACACATACACACTCACACATACACACTCACACATACACACACACTCACACACACACACTCTCACACACACACGCACACACACGCACACGCACACTCACACACACAGGCTGGCAGCACATCGCAGGGAACACAGGGAATGCGGTGTCGCCTTTAAGTAAGTTCATGTGGCTACAGCACCACCCACTGGCAGGGGCTGGACAGGCAGCCCAGCGGGCGCAGGCAGGAACGAGGGGCCAGCTTGCAGGGCTGCGGGCGGGCAGTTAGCCTGTGACATGGATATGCCGCACGGATGCCACCCACACCAGCACCTTTAGTGGGGCCGCTGGCTGCGGAGGCAGAGCCCCTGCCCGGCCGGGCGCTGGCTGGAGGCCACACGGCACGGTGCTCTGAAGAGGGCGGTGTGGGACGGGGCAGCTGCAGAGGAGGGGGCGGTGGAGGTATGGGGTGGGCACCCAG